AACTAATACACTATCAGAGTTTTATATATTTATACTTCTCATTCAACCACAGTTAAATTCACTCTATCTAGGAGGCTCAGTTTATATGGATAGTTTTTATTTTTACAACAACAAGCTGCAATGAAAACAAGCAGAAATGAAATAAAAGTAACAACTTTATACTTCTTGTCTTTTTTTAATGTAGAGAAGAAAGTACAGATAAATAACTGTGAAAATGTAAGAAGTAGAAGTAAAAAGTAGGATGTAAAATAATTACTCAAGTAAAGTACAGATACCCCAAAATTCTACTTTAGTACAGTAAAGAAGTATTTGTACTTAGTTACTTTACAACTCTGGATGGTCACATTTGTTTGACTTCTAGTTACATTCTTTTGTCAGTTAAAGTAAATCGGTGTTAGGGAATAACTAAGATATAATTTATAAACTTGTCTGTTGGCATGTCGATGGTGGACACAAATACAGAACAATAATGTTCTAGTTATAAAAGGATGGTGAGCTCAACTGTACTGAAAACTGAACGATTCAGTTGATGGAGTCATTCGATTCATTTCGTTCACTCAAATGATTCGTTCATTTGAACGAATCAGTGGTGAACGACACAGCAGTGCAGCAGCCAACGAGCTAGCAGCAGCAGCTAACCTGAGTCACACAGAAATATGGATGGAGAAAGGCTGAAAGTGAAATGGTAGGTTTATTATTAACTAATATTAACTAAACTACGGTAGACGGTTGTGTTGTAAAGCCTTCGTCATGCGGATGTGTGTGTCACAGTTTTACCTGTGTGGATGTCCTGTCTCACTCAGTCAACCTGAGCTAGCTGCTAATAACAACCATTTAAAAGCTCGTTATTTAAATTTATTTAAGTTTAGCTAGATAACTTAGTGTATCTGACCCAGGCTCACATGCTAGCATGCTAGTTCCTGGATTTGTGGAGGTGAAACGCAGCGTCCACATCATGTGTGAAGTGTTTATGTTGTGTTACTAAAATAACCAGCTGTAAACTCAGTCTTTTCATATGTTGTGTTACTAAAATAACCAGCTGTAAACTCAGTCTTTTCATATGTTGTGTTACTAAAATAACCAGCTGTAAACTCAGTCTTTTCATATGTTGTGTTACTAAAATAACCAGCTGTAAACTCAGTCTTTTCATATGTTGTGTTACTAAAATAACCAGCTGTAAACTCAGTCTTTTCATATGTTGTGTTACTAAAATAACCAG